TGTGTGTGCGTGTTTGTGTGTGTGTGCGCGTGTTTGTGTGTGTTTGTGTGTGTTTGTGTGTGTTTGTGGGTGTTTGTGTGTGTTTGTGTGCGCGTGTGGGTGTATGTGTGTGTATGTGTGTGTGAGTGTGTGTCTGTGAGTGTATGTGTGTGTCTGTGTCTGTGTATGCGTTTGTGTGTGTGTGTGTGTCGCTTATAGAATGCATTGTATCTGTAACTCGGGGACAGTCAAGGCACTCCAGCCATAGAGGAAGTCGAAAGAGATCCCCAGCCCCCATCTTGCAATGTCTATATGATGTAACGCTGGTGGTATTGTTTAGCGGCTTCTTCTTCGCACATTTCTTCAGATTCTTCCTCCAGAGATAAGAAAGCTTCAAACGACCCTAGTGTGTCTCCGCCGGCGACAACAAAGCCCTTCGACTTCCGGACATTCCATTCGTCCTTAATTTCTTCCGAATCCAGCGAAGAGTGTGCATTGAACTCTTCAAGATCAGCATAATCGGCATCACTTTTCTTGTCGCTTGTACTAATGGAACGGTCATTAGTGGGAACATCTATGACCGTATGAATTGGTACTGTGTCGCCAATTCTCTTGGGGTGTTTAATGCTATTCACATAATCAGTGCCTTGAGAAGCGTCGCCGACCCTGAGCAAAAACTCTCTAATTGGATCATCTCGTGGGCCAAATTCTACGACAGAATGATACTCAGTTTCGGTCATTAGATGGCTTCTTTCTCCAATAGACGCGGCCGTGACATACGAAACTGCTAATCTTTTCGAGTTTAAAGTTGACGATGTTACCCAAGGCACAGGTGGCAGAGATCTTCTCGAGGCACTGATTATGTGAATAGCAGTAAACTCTCCAAGAGAATTGGCGACACACTACCTATTCATACGGTCATAGATGTTCCCACTAGTGACAGTTCCATCAGTAGAAGCGACAAGAAAAGTGGCACTGTTAATACGCATCCGATTTTGTCTGTTCGCAATTCATTTTTGCGCTGCTAGTGCCCCTGCGACAAAGGCCGGAGTTCATGACAGTTAAAATTGATTCGCTACTGTATGAGTGATTTCATTTTGAACTTTATCTTGCATTATATACTACTGATTTAGAATAGGAGGCTATGGTTTACCCCTCGCGAGAATATCCTATTCACATATATCACGGCCCTCTGGATAAGGGTCGCGACTCGCGAGTAGAAATTAGGTTTCGTCGTATGTAGCGGAAATCGTAAATTCAGCAGAATTGATAATGGTGTAAACTGTAAAGTATGATCGCATTGATCGGATAGGCGCTTTTAAAAGTTATGAGAAGAATAGTTGTTGATGCATACTTTGTTTGGCTAGGGTAACAAAAATGTTGTTCCCAGCTGATACATAGCTGGCTATTTTTCCAATCGAGGCGACCCAATGGTCAATCACCCAAAAGAAAACTTAAAAATGATTTTAGCACGTATTTATTTCTATTGGCCATTTGTTTTCTGCTCCATTTTTTTCACCTCTGTCTTTCACAGGGAAACAATGGGACATCCGGACATGGGTATGTATGCCGGTATGGTGCACAGATCTCAGAGTGTCAGACCAGTGGACGACATTGCACACTGGTGAGATCATTACTATCATCGCGATTCTGTTGACCTGCTGTAGGCACCACATCAGCGTATCTGACTATCTGTATCAATCATCGATATGCTCGGTATCTGATTCGTATTCAAATGCGCTCCATACATGTTCAGTTATTTATTATTATCTTCGCCAATTACAATATCTGTCTGTCGGTTCTTTTACGCGTGCGCGTGCTCAAATACTGTATTAGCTGCGGCCGCGGAAACTTATCGCAATCACTGAATCAATTGCAGCAGATTAGGTTCGGCACAAACTTATGTGTCCGACCGATTTCTTGTGTCACTTTCAGCCTAAAAAACCTTCCTTTTATAGTGGTAACAGGGGTGTCAAACTAGTCCTGGACCGCTTTTTGCTCTCCCACTTCAATTACAAGGGCTTGAGCCGCTCTTCCTCTGCCAGCTTGCCCTATCACTCGATAAATCTGTCTGTGTGTTGCTCGATGTAATTTTTGTAGATGTGTGTGCAAGATTTTATTAGTTACAAGATACACATCCGAAGTCAGGTGTTGAGCGGTGCTCTTTTCCGTGTGTAAGGAAACTCTCATACTGAGGGTCTATGTACATTCTCATACTGAGAGGCGGTGCATAAAGGGACACCCTCGTCCGTGTGTAAAAAGACTCTCCTACTGAAGGTCTATGTACCCTGAGGCTCCATGGAATGGGCCATTCTTACTGCTAAAGAGTAATACTTATTGCTGTCCAAGATTCGCGTCCCAAACCGGACTGTAGACAGCACACGTGTTTATCGGCATCAGCAGAGCGTGCATACCATGATATTGCTCCAAATTCCTCCAGTGTAGACGCTACACTCCACTCCTCTGAATAGCACACTGGTAGTATGCACAGGTGTAGGTTCCGCTTGATAGTCGAATGTACTCACAGAGTCTCACATTCTACTAGGTGCAAAGTTTCTATAGCAGAAGAAGCACTGACAGTGACCTTTTTCGAGGGCAATAACGGCTACTTTCACGTTGTGTACTAAACACTAGAATTCGTGTTTGAAGACTGGCGTCCGTAGGCGGCTTACATGTATGGCTGCGAGCGAGATTTGTTTTAGTAATGGCAGTACGCCACAAAAGATACGCAAGCCTCGAACAGGTGTATCTGCCATGCAAAGAAAGATTTTTCTCTGAATCATAGCGTCTTGTGGGAAGAGTGCTCTTACCTATTTCAACCTAGATGGAATAAGCACCATCACCTGACACCAGCACTATGAACGTAGAATCCACCAGCCGACGTGGTATATACGATGTCCAACCAACAAACCAACTATCCAGCCACTGAGAGGCAGCTATGTGCTACTCCCCTTTGACTTGAGCCGATTGACTGTGGCATCCTCCGAGAGCATGTTCTTGACAGCACCGTACACTACGAACGCCTCGATTGCCAACCCCAGTGCACGCCCCATTATCATTATGATCAGTACCGCTGTGATAGGATAAAATGCGCCGAAGTGAGAAAGCGTAACATGGGTCGAAGGACGCCAGGTGACCCGAGAAGCGTTAATTCTTCAATTAACAAAATTGAGATAAAAACCATTCGATTGGTACGTGGAAAAGTGTCATTCGGTATATAATTACACGTGTGTACTCAAAAATACTCTCTATAGGCAGTTGTGCGGAGTTGCACTCCGTCTGTATCAAATTCAGCCTGTTGCGGGAGTGCGCTCAACACTATACCTACACAGACTGATGTATACGGTGATTGTGAATAAAATAAGAACAGAATACATAGACATGCACGTCTAAAAGCATACACTCTCATGCATGCTAATAATGATCAATTGCGCAAAGCATAGACATGCGGGAGTATGAAGATCCGATATAAAAATCCGATACGAAAAAATGATGATAGTTGACAGACATGTCAGACATTCCTGATACAAAAACACATTATTTGAGAAATTCGTTCACTCGATTGCACCTGAAGTTCACAAGTCTCTAACGATATATAACACACATACATATGCTTAAATACGTGAGCTTGAATATTGTGCGAATAAGAAGTTCATCACAAAACTATGAGTAGATTGTTTGACTACTCAAATGCTTCTACTATACAAAATCGGTTCGTTACATCAATGACACACTCGAAATAATGATGATGCACCTCGAGTCCTCGGGTCACAGTTTGAACAAACATTCTGCTGCGCGACGAAACCACAGGGGCTTGAGATCAAACACTCTCTCGTATGCTACAACAATGATACCACTGAGACTTGAGATCAAACACTCTCTCATATGCTACAACAACGATACCACAGGGACTTGTGATCAAACACTCTCTCGTTTGCTACAACAATGATACCACAGGGACTTGAGATCAAACACTCTCTCGTATGCTACAACAATGATACCACAGGGACTTGAGATCAAACACTCTCTCGTTTGCTAC